GCACCACTGTACAGTAAATTAAAAATACAATCCAACATCTAGACAAATGTGATGCATTATTTGTCACATGGCATTGCCAAGAGATATTACAAATTTTTTAGCAAGATTTCACTAAGTACAATTGCTTCTTGGTTTATACGGAATAGAAGGAAGCAAGCAAGCAAAAAAGAAGCAGCTCTGGATTACATATTTAGTGTAAAAGTGAAAGAGAGAAATAGGAACCTGCAACCATTAAGAGGGAAAAAGCTAGCCCCTGCAGCTTATCTCTCCGGAGTATTACAAAATAGGAACAAGTTCAGAAGATTTAGTAGTTGTATAGCAGCCATCTTACCGAATATGCTATAGTTGCACAAGCAGCACAATATATCTTCAGTAAAGGCCGTTATTGTCATGGTAACTATGCATTTCTATTAGCAGAGGTATACTAGTAACTATACATTTCTGACAGGCAGGGGGCTAAAATCAGAAGATGACTCTGTTATGCTGCCAATAAACTGCTGCACAGCATGTAGACACCAAACCTCTTCAATCCCCATTAAACCTGATAGGAATGGTGCCTCAAGTCAAAACTGCAGAATGAAGCATAAAGACTGCAATTTTTTCTTCTGCCTTCACAGCTTCAAAGCTTCCCAATTCTTCAGGCACCTTATCTTCATTATATTCTAAATGAAATAAGGTATGATGGCTTAATATCTAATTTAGCCATGCTTATGTGGTCTAGCATATCATTCTGCCTGGATAAAGCATGCATTTGTTAATGATGCTTAGAACACACTATAACATTTCTACTGTGAATTTTCTTCTGATGTATCAGCATGACTAATGAGGTATAAAGCATTAGGAATGGACATTTTTAATTCATATGACTTTTCTGAGAATGCAGCTATCTCACTAGAATAATCCCACAGATGTGGAATTTCTAGTTTCAGACAGCAAACAGACACTATGTTGAAGAACACATACATTATTAATACAGTGGTGCCCCACAAGATGATGTTAATCCGTTCCATTGAAATCGCTGTCTTGCGAAAACATCGTCTTGCGAAATGGGATTTCCCATTGGAAT